TACACACACAAACACACACAAACACACACACACACACACACGTAAGGGCAGAAATGAAAAAAGACATATAAGCACTTATTAACACACTAGAACTAAGATTTAAACAAATATTATGAGTGATAACAAATTATAAAAATGGAGAAAAGTACAGGTTTAACGTCCATATCAACACTCTTAGGTCATTTAAGCGGCGGGATATCTAAGTTGCACGCCCAACTCCGAACAGGCCAAGCCAAATTAAAAAATCGTGTAAAGTGACTTTCCCAAGGACACAACGTCGGACCGACCTGACGCTCGAACCCCAGATCCCTCAATCTCACGATTACGAGTCCTGTAGCCTAACCACTATGCCATCGACGCCACGATTACAAAAGGAGCCGTTCCTCGCATTCTGTAAATGAAGCTATCGGCCGAAAATCGAAACCATTGTCACATTTGTAGATTTTCAATTGATACACTTTTCCGGCTCACTCTGCAGCCTTTCTACTGCTACTCCTTGGCTGCTTTTTACTGTTGTCTTTACGTCACACCGCTGATCTTATGGTAGAAAAGATCTACACCTAGCCTCCTCGGACAAGGGCAAAAAATTTCGGAGGTCCCGTGTGCAAGTTGCGCGTTTAAGATCCCTTGGTTGTCCAAAAACGATAAGAATAGGCTTCGGCTGCCAACCAGGCAAAATTCAAAATTTCTTTTCAACTGAAAATTTTAATGTGTCCCGCCGCTCATATGACCTAATGCAGTTGTGAGAGCCGAAAAACACATGTTCTTCTCTTGCCAGTCCATGTTACTCATTGTCTTTCCCTGGATCTACTGCCCCACATCCTTCCTTCAAGCAACTCTTTCACAATGGTCCAACAGGTGGCCAAACTGCTTTACTCTCTGTTTTTCTATGCAATGCAGGCAGGACTCAGTGTCAATAGTTGCTCTTACTTCTTCATTTCTCTGCCTGTCTCGACTTGTGATGCAAAGTGTTTTGCAGAGAACTTTCATCTTGCATGCAATGATTTTGCTTTCATTGGTTTTACTTTCTGGATCTGGCACTGGTAGCATAATGTGGGTGGACATAATAATATTATTATAGTGTTTCTAGAGACTTAGAAATCTGTACTGTTTTAATCCATTGCTGCTGAGAGTGGCGGCTATGATTGTCACATAGGTATTTGTAATTCTAATTGGTAGCGAAATGGGTCTCGAGCAATGACTTTATAGTGTTGATAGAAGGCCACACATGTCAGATAGATGTTTATAATTCTAATTGGTAACGAAATGGTTCTTAAGCAATGACTTTATAGTGCTGATAGAGACGTGAAACTTATTGTATTTCAATCCATTACTGCAGAGAGTGACGGCCAGAAATAATTGTGGGTCAGTTTTGAGCCTGAACGAATCTGGGTGGCGCTCCAATGATGTACTTCGACTGAAAACAGCGGAGATTGACTACCAACGAATGAACCAACTCTTAGAGTGAGTCATTGATCGTCGTAATCATCATCATCATCAGCAGCAGCAGCAGCAGCAG